TTCCATAATATCTCGATATAGTTGAGTGAGTTGCGTCTTCATGTGTTTTTCAACATAGACGAATTTGGAGTTGACATATGAGAAGATGTCCAAGTTATCCACGGTGATTTGGGATCGAATCTTGAATGTTTTTCTTCGTTGTGTTTCCATCACGAGGAGTTTGGGATGCTCGGTGCGAAAAATTACGTAATCGCAGAGGTTGAATTCTTCCGTTTTAGTCAGTGCGAAGGTAGTGTCCCCTGTGATCACGGTGTAGACTATCGTTGATGTTTGATTAGTACGGGGTGACAATCGTGTTGCCATTCCCTCGTACAAGATGTCGTACTTGTCGAAGTGGCAGGTGTCGACGGTTAATGTGGTCCAATATGTCTCCGAGCCGTCTGCGTCTGGGCACGTTCTGGCCGTAACCCGGCAGCGGGTGCCGGACGGCAGGATCAGCTCGTCGCTCGAATGTTTGATGCTAACGTCGAATCGTCGCATCGTGATGCGGACTGTGGCTTGTACTACCACGTTGTCCCATGTTCTGTATCTATCCGCGTATTGGGCGCCGTGACAAGTACCGTCTGTTGATGCTCGTCCAGCCAGTGTTACGCTGCGGTAGTTAGTTGAATTTGCAACGAGCCGGTCGATAATCGTCGTGACCAGTGTTATCGATCCAGTTTCGTGCAGTCGCCGGCAGGCGTCGTTCCCTAATTCCTGCACGTACTGTCTTCTGCCGTTGTCCACGAGGGAGATGTGGGAGTGCATGCCGCAGTAGTGGATCGTTCTATCCACCTCGACTTTGCACTGTATCGCGTTAGTCCTTCCGTAATCTGACAGCTGCATAAGCTGTACATATACGTCAGCTCTCACGGGCTCTATGTTTTCCAAATTGCAGACTCCGACATCCAGCAAGGACAGTGTCGTTATATTCAATCCTTTGCCCTCGCAGTTGTAACCGATGAGTCCGCTTACCAGTGCGGAAAGCAGGGCGATCATAACGGCGATTCGAGACATGTTATTCCTGGGTGTGTTGTTGGCTGTGCGTGTCCGTGCTCGTGGCGTTGGAGTTGGTGGCGGCTGTGCAGCTTCCCTCCAGCGCTGGCGTCTCCGATGGGACGGTGGGAGTGGGGGCAGAATCGGTGTGGGGGGCACTAGGGTGTGCCAATTTAATTTTATCAGTATGCACCACTCGATAGTAGTTGCGTCTTAACTTTAGCTTAGCGTTATTGTTCGGTAACATTTCTATTATTTTATGCGGGCCCGAATATTGGGCATCTAACTTACTTTTTAAGGTTTCTTTTAATAGGTACACTAAATTTCCTACTTGAAAGTCACGCGGCCGCGACCTTCGGTCGTAGTATCTTTTGGAGCGCGCTTTCGCATTCCGCAGGTGCTCCCTCGCTATCGATTGAGTGTCTCTGAGTTTGTCGAACAGCGTCGTCAGGTATTGACTGTACGTTTCGTTCTTTTCCGTGTTTGTTGACGGGTCCCCGGAGGGTATTTCGGCTGTTTTCCCGAATACGAGTTTGTATGGCGTGTACCGAGTACCTTCGTGGACGCTCGTGTTGATGGAGAACGTGGCGAACTTCAGGTATTCATCCCAATTTTCCTTATTCGCGACTTGTTTCAGGAACTCTGATAGGACTTGGTGAGAGCGCTCTACCGACCCGTTTGATTGGGGGCGGTAGGCGGTTGTTTTGCATTGGTTGATCCTGAATTTGCGCGCGACGTTCTTCAACAAGCTGCTAGTAAAGTTACTACCTTGGTCGGTCAATATAATTCGCGGTGCGCCAAAGATGCAAATTAGCTCGCTAACTAATGCGTCTGCTACGGCGGTAGATGTGGTTTGTCTCAGAGGGATTGCCAATGAAAACTTAGTCAGGAGATCTTGAATGGTTAAGATATGCGTGTAGCCGTTCCGCGATGTCGGGAGGGGTCCCATGATGTCCATTGATATCTTTTCGAACGCGGTTCCTAGTGTGTCGGTCAACACCATGGGTTGTCGAATTTTCAGCCGGACTAATTTTTTTAATTGACAATCCCTACAGTTCTTGATGTACTTCTGTACGTCGTCGCGCAATTTTGGCCATTGGTATAAAATCTGATTCGTTCTACGGTTTTTGTGACTCCCTTATGCCCCCCGATCAACGTATCGTAGTTCTCGCGAATTATATCGAGGCGTTTATCCTCAGGAGGAATTGACACTTCATTGGAGCACACCGTTATTTTAACGGGTGAATTATTAAGCCTTTTTTGTATTAAATTTAGGGTATAATCCCATGGTACGTCGATTACGGGGCTTTTGGATATAGATATCGTTTTTAAACGAAGTTCCGTTATTACGTCGTACAGCGACGCGACGTTTTCTTGGAGCGTTTCCGACTGTGAGATTTGAGACACACGGTCTTCCATTATTAGTACGATTACATAATACTTCCCTGACTTGTGTAACGTCCAGACAAATTTCAAAATTTCAATCTTTTTCAAAAATTTATCCTTTAACATATTAGTCATGACAATCTCTAACCTACATGAAAGACCGGTATTAACAAATATTTAATCACACATATAATTACTCATAAGTTAAAACATGTTTTTTCACAAATGACAATGAGAATAGCAACCCACTTTTAAATAATATTTCCATCATAAAAAGCATAATTAACAAGGGTGCTCCGCTCCGGATCATTCGTTAAAAAACATACAGGTTAGAGAATAAGCACGCCTATAGCAAATATATTATTAACCTTAAAACTCCCATTCATTAGGAGACTAAAAATTCATATGCAATATAACATTATATCCGTCGTACGCTCGAAAATACTACTAAATAAGGATATCGTAGTTCAACCATGAATATATAGGTATTTTATCTTGATTATGATTTTTTCTATAATAAGCACCAATTTACATCTAGCTACAAAAGATATATGTAAATTGAATGTTAAACTTAGTCAGGGACAGTTGGCGAATAACCGATAAATCATATGTAGCCGCAGGCACAATATAATAGCACAAAATTAATACGTTATTCTCCATATAAGTTATCCATCAATTTACATATAACTATGGAATATAAATGTAAATTGATAAGTTTTAACCCTCCATCGCAATTTCCAATTATAGATATAAATATTAGAAAAAATTAGAAATCCGTTCCTGACGCGAGTTATCTATCAATTTACATATAACTATGAAATATAAATGTAAATTGATAAATTTTACCTGTCTATCATGATTATTTTAATCCATAACAAAGAATTTACGAAGTAATACATTTTATTTCAAATCGCAAAAGGAATCGGCATATTCTAAAGAACAATACCTAAAATATATATATATATATATCGCTTGTAAAGTAGTGCACTGCAATAATAAGATAATTAGGTATGAAAACCGCTTTATTATGTGAACTCAGCTTTATTCTCAAGGAAACGTCCAGAAGATTTTAGAAGGTTCTAGAAAGACGGTTGAGAACCGTTACAGTACAGAAGCATGATCCAATGCATGATGCAACGCTGAAACACGTTGCAACCTGCAAAGCCCGTTGCAAGCCGCATAGCGATAAGTCACCAAAGAAGCACCGCTATCGCTACTAAAAAGAAGATAAGATAAGTCGGAGCGCATAGCCAACAAAGGCATACCACTATCGCTACCGAGAATAGGATAAGGAAATTAGGAGCGCCTGGCGATGAGTCATCAAAGGAACGCCGCTATCGCTACTAAGCTGTCGTCAATAGACTGTTCAAGTGATGCATACTAAGCTGTCGAAGTTGCTCCACGCGTTGCCATCGTAGGAGCCTATTCTCATTGATCTCGCTAAAGTCTCTGCAAGGAAAACTATTGTATTTAGTGCTGTACCAACCAGAAAGTGACCCGGACTAAGATAATACAAGTCGTTGGGATCCTCGCTTAGTGGCGTAATAGGGCGCGAATTTAATATAGCTTCTATCTCAGACAATACAGTCTGCGGTTCTTCAAAATTTAAATGGGCTTGACCCACAATTCTAGTCAAGTGATGTTTGGCGGATTTTACCGCCGCTTCCCATAAACCGCCAAAATGAGGAGCGTTGGGCGGAATGAATTCCCAGCAAATGCCCTCGTTGGCACAGAATTGATTGAGATCGGACTGCGTTTCTTGTTTGTTATAAAATTCGTATAGTTCCTTGATTTGCTTTTTTGCCCCGACGAAGGTGGTCCCATTATCGAGTACATGTGGGTCGGTTTCCCTCTTCGCGCGATGAAACGTTTGAATGCACCAAGAAAACAGTCTGTCGTTAAATTGCTTACGACTTCGATGTGCGCGGCTTTAGTGGCAAAGCATACGAAAATGGCTATGTAGGCCTTATGATTGCGAGAGTTGCGCCTGTTTCCTTCGCGTATTGTGACTGGACCGGCATAGTCTATCCCACAATGCGCGAACGGTCTAGATGGGGTGACTCGACCGGCGGGTAATGATCCCATTAAGGCTTCCGAGAATCGCGGTTTTGCCTTAAAACAAGTTACGCATTCTTGTATGATCTTTCGCGCTACGGATCTTAGCGAAAGTGGCCAGAAACGTTGCCGGACGGCGGCCATAGTACCTTGCGTTCCGGCGTGCATATTCCGAATATGCTCTTGTCTAATTATTTTTTGTGTTAAATCGTGATTGCGCGGCAGCAAAATGGGATGGCATGCGTCAAAATCTAGGTTTGAGTTTTTAAGCCTACCGCCCACCCGGATTAGGCCATCTTTATCCATGAAAGGAGTTAACGGCAATAGACGGCTGCCTGCATTAATGGTTGTTCCTAATTTTAATGCTTCGTATTCTTTAGAGAAGACTTGTTTTTGTACCGCCCTGCACACGATTTCCGTTGCAAGTAAAAGTTCAGACGAAGATATTGTTCTATTTGGCGCGAGATTCCGTTTCTTAGAAAATCTCATGCAATACGCAATGATCCGAAGGATTTTGTTTAGACTTGAATGCTTGGTTAATAGCTGGATGACCATGCATTGGTCATGCTTGACGACAATCGCGGCTATTCTTCTTTGTTCGGGCATATCCTCCCCGGATATGTAAAACTTCCCGATGGCCACTGATTTTCATGCAACTGTAGAAAGCTGGGCCCGTGCCACCACATGGATGATGCGATTAAATCATACGGATATATGCCTCTGGATAGTATGTCTGCAGGATTGTCGGAAGAGGAGACGTGACGCCACTGACTGATCTGAGTCAACCTTTGAATTTCTCCGACTCTATTTGCCACGAATACTGACCAGTTGCGCGAGGATGAAGCTATCCAATTCAATGCTATGGTGGAGTCCGACCAAAGAAATGCTTGCATGGGCGAGCCCAATGAGTCTTTCACCTTAGTTATGAGTTGAGCTAACAGAACCGCTGCCGATAGTTCAAGTCTTGGCAGTGACACGGCCTTGAGTGGTGCCACACGGGATTTTGAACACAGCAACTGTGAACGATATTCACTAGATTCGATGGTTGTGCGTACATATATACATGCGCCATATGCATTTTGACTTGCATCACAAAACCCGTGTAATTGCACGAGCTGTGAGTCTGGGTTGTATTTGACACCCCTAGGGATTTGTAGCTGATTTACAGCATGTAATTGAGACTTGAATTTTAGCCAGCTTGTATGTAATTCCTGCGGCACAGATTCATCCCAATGGATGCCGGCCTTCCACAGGTCTTGAAGAATGAGTTTGGCAATTACAATGACGGGTCCGAGGAGACCCAGAGGATCAAACAACCTGGAAACTTCAGAAAGAATAACGCGCTTAGATACTGCGCTGTTAGTGGAATCTGAATTGTATGCAAAGTGAAAAACATCCTTGACTTGATTCCATTGAATCCCTAGTATGCTAGAATCTGTCTCGTTATGAATGGTAATTACTTCCCCATCACGATCCTTTATATTTTTTAGGAGTTCTGGGCAATTCGACGCCCACTTACTGAGTTCGAAAGATCCTATTCTCAGCAATTCTATTAGTTCATCTCGGAGTACCTTAGCCTCGTGCAGAGTATCTGCTCCTGACAAAAAGTCATCTACGTAAAAACTGCGTTTCACCTCTCTAGAGCCTACCGGGTACTTAGCTGCGTATTGATCGGCATGATAAGTAAGGCACCTGCTGGCCAAGTATGAAGCTGATGATGTTCCATACGTAACTGTCAATAGTTCGTATGTGTCGACGTTGTTAGCAGGGTCGTCCCGCCATAGTATCCTTTGCAGACGTGTTTGAGAAGGATCCACCAATACTTGTCTATACATTTTTATTACGTCGGCGCTAAAAACATAAATGAAGAAACAAAATCGGATCAGTATGGATGTTAGCTCTTGCTGCACTACTGGCCCTATCATAAGTGCATCATTTAAAGATAAGCCCTCGGTAGATTTGCATGAAGCGTCAAATACTACGCGGATCTTTGACGTTTGATTGTTAGATTTGAATACGCAATGATGCGGTAAATAAAAACATGGGGAACTCTCATCGGGCTGCAATTCTATTTTTTGCATGTGCCCTAACGATATGTACTCATTGATAAATTGTTTGTATTGCTCTTCTAGATCGGGCTGTCGTTTAAAACGTTTTTCGATGCCCTTCAAACGAGACATGGCAATGCTTCGAGAGTCTCCTAACTTGTCGATTAATTGATCTCTAATAGGAAGTTTGACCACGTATCTGCCTTGTGGATTTTGATGAATATTGCTGATAAAATGCTGCTCACAATAACTTTCCTCAGGAGTCAAATTATTGGAGTCATTTTTCGCGTCGTCTAATTGCCAGAACCGACTTAATTGATCATGTAACTGCTCGTTAGTTATAGATGCGTGTAGAGAATGTACCTTTGCGTGAATTGATTTTGAATCAAACATTCGTCCTGCTAGGATCCATCCAAACCTCGTTTTTTGTAATTTAGGATGCCTGTCCGATGATTGTATCTGTCCTACAAAGAGAAGATCCCAAAATATTTCGGCTCCTATTAGAATGTCGATATCAAAAGATACGTGAAATTGTGGATCAGCTAGCTTTATATTTCGTGGCAGTTCGAAATCCCTTCGCCTTAACGGTATGCCAGGGAGTTTTTCTGTAACTTGATCTGAGACAATACAATCGATTGTAGCACTGTATGAATCTATTCGCGATTGCAATTCGATTTTTACTGCTTGCGTGGCCGTCGTAACCGTTCCGTTCACGCCGGATATGGCTACGCTTAGTGATTTGGGAGTGAGGCCAAGCCTCGTCATGAATTTCCTTGATATGAAATTCGCCTGAGAACCACAATCCAACAGAATGCGACAAGGTCGAAGCACGCCCTGATAATCGCGCGCGTGCACCATGGCCATTGACAATATGACGTTAACACTTCCCCTGCGACGTGTGTCGCTACTACGGCAGAGGATTCTGCGGAGTTGGAGTTGTCGCTGCCCTTTCCTGAAGAGCTAGAGGAATTAGGCGCTTGCTGCGAGGCGGTCGTCATATGAAGAAGCGTGTTATGCTTGGCTTGGCAGACCTTGCAACCTCCTGAAGTGCATTTGCTAGCGATGTGCGTGTTGGAACGCAGACAATTGAGGCAAATTTTGCGAGAACGAATTTCCGCGATCCTTTGAGGAACCTGAAGTACCAGAAAATTCTTACAGTAATAAATGGAATGCTCCCCTCGACAGTAGTTGCATTTTAACTTGACGGTAGCTGCGCATGCTGTTTGACGCTTGGCGTGTGCCTTGGCAGTGCCGTCCTTGACGTTCGCGACGTTGCTAGATTTGTTTGTGACTTCGAGCATCTGACACTGTCGTGTGATAAAATCGAAGAATTGTTTGGATGTTGGTAATTCGTTACCCGTAAGCGAAGATTGCCACTCGCGTAGTGTGAGGGGATCGAATTTCGAGCATAGCACGTGTATTAAAATATCGTCCCAATACGCGGTGGGTCGCTTTAGAGCTTGCAACGCGTGTATGTGCTTTGTCGCGCCATCCGCGATTTGCCTTAACTCGGTATAATTTTCCCTTGTCATGGAAGGTAATTCTATAATGGCCTTGATATGATTTTGCACGATTACCCGTTTGTTATCGTACCGCTCTTTGAGAAGATTCCACGCTGCATTGTAATTCGCGTCCGAAATCTCTAAAGAATTAATTACGCTGCTCGCATCGCCTGTGAGAGAGGCCTTTAAATATTGAAACTTTTGTATGCAACTGAGAGACGCGTTTGTATGTATGACCGACGTGAATGTATCGAAGAACGGGAACCACTCGTCATATTTCCCCGAAAATGTCGGTAAATTCAATTTAGGTAAGCGCACGCGGGAAGTTGCGTCCGAGATTTCCGAAAGCGTTGCCGGCGAAACAGCGGCAGTGCGCGAGTGCGTGGGAGGGCTTAATAACTCCCTGATTTTAGCGGATACGGCATAAAATGCATCCTCGAACGCAGCCCGATCGTTACCTTCGGCTTCTTCTAAAATTTCTATTTGCGTCTGTACAGTGTGGTATTCGGCCCAATAATGTTCTAGTTTTAATTTGCGCTCCTCAAGTTGAGCCGTTGTCGAGGTATTGATAGCAGTAATTGTCTCGACGTAATGTTTTATTCGCGTGCAGGATCCCTTGATCATAGCGCGTTGTCTTTTAAGTACCGCGAGATTTTCTGTATTAGACATTTTAAAACTAATTGAATTGAGACACACGTATTATTCGAATCTGGTTGGTATTCGTCACTAGATAGCTACCCTTACCTTACATTTATTTCTTATTGAAGAAAGAAAACGCGTGAACGCTCGGGAATCCTTTGTCGGTCGTCCTGCGGAGAGGAGGGGGGGTGTCGTCGTCTCAATGCGCTGTTTGGCCCTCGATGCGTCGTTCGTCTTGTCGAATATGGCCGACAAGGATCGCCGTGACTGCTGGTTCGATTGCCCGTCCGTTGGAATTATGCCGTTGTCGCCAATGCGGGGCAATCGTTGTACTCGCCAACGAGTAAAATAGCCGCTCCTGACCTCTCCTTTGTTAGGACGTCTGCCGATGTATGGGAAATTCCGTAGGCCGATACCGTACGTGGTAACTCAATACGTTGGCCTTTTTTAATTTGGCTTGCGCCCTTTGTGTTATATCCTCTAGAAGTTTGTTGGACACTACCTTGACTGAGCTTGCGGAATTCCTTGGATGAATCCGGCTCGAAGGACCAAATGTACGGGTTGTACGTAAGTTGAATTATCGGGCGTGTGCCCGTCGTATGTTGTCGTGGAATGAGTGCTTCACGAATATACGACCGAGAATGTTTCTCTCTCACTTGCTTATATTTATTGAAAAACTCAGAAGGTAGTGACCGCACTCGAGATACAAAGTATAAATGCTTTAATTGAAATACAGCGTATAATGGTATACAATAGCGGTTAAGTCGGCCGCACGTGTGTCTCTCGTTGTCTCTGAGACGATTCTGATTCGTATTAGCGGGGACCGCGCACGATGGGTCGCGATCGGCAACGGAAGCCTCCGAAGGCAACGACGAAGGACCTGACATATATATGTGCGGGTACCCGAATTCGAGCGGGTAGATTGACCGGGCGATACGCGTAAATAGTTTATTGAATACCAAACATAATGTTATTATGCTTAAGAGAAACACACAATGCTTCGTAAATATAATAAATATTAGAAATCAATGTTATACAAAAATAACACGTTATAAAACATTTGACAATAAATTATACATATAAAGTAACGTCTCAATATATTTTTAAATGAAGTTAAAAAGAACTGTTACTAACATCATCTTAATTTATCTTATAAAATTATTAGGTACACAAAAAAATTATATTATAACAAAATAAAAGAGTAATGTAATTCAAACAAATAATTGTACGTTTCAATTATATTAATGAAGCAAGAACAAGAAAACAAAAATAACATAGGAACATAGCAATTATCAATATATATCATGACAAATTATTCACCCTCATTTTGTTCTTCCTTAGTAATATCTTGTAGAAATGTTAATAAAAGTGTATCCTGTGTTTTTTTATTCAGTTTAAGCAATTTTTGTTTTATATAAATAAACATACCATCCAATGCATCCATTTCAGGTGGCTTTGGAAGATTTATAACAGGCATTTCTTTATTACAAAATGCTTCAGCTATACGATTCATTGATGCACTTAAATCATTGTTAATTTTAGCTCGTTTAGTACTAGGTTTAACATAAAGCTCATCTGCAAAGAGATTGTTTGACTGTATCTATAATGCCTGTTCATTAATACGTAAACACTTTCTATAATACAATCGGTCAGTCAGCAAATAATAGATAAGATGTATAACTATTAAACCTACCTTCGTTACTTTCATGTTGTTCATTGCTGTCTAAGCTGTTCTCAAAAAGATTGTTGGACTCGATACTTTGAGTCGTAAGGTTAGAAATGGAGCTGTAAAATAAAGTATGTTTCCAATAAAGTATGTAAAATAAAGTTGTACACATGTGTAAAAAGTGATATACTTTCTGCTTGTAGAAACTGAACGTAAAAAGGACATTGCTTCAAAATGTTTCCATGGTTTTTGTGAATTTGATCTCGCTGACCCACTCGGTTTTTTCCTTCAGCCACTGCTTTACTAAACGTGTCTTTAAGTGATTTCCACCTCTTTTTAGCATCTTCAGGACTGATACGACCTAAAATATTTATAAAAACATTCTTTAAAAATATTTAATAGCTACGATCGAATTGGCGTACAAATGCTTTGAAACATTTGTTTTCTCTTTTAGCTTTAGAGATTCCAAGGAAAAAAGAGAAAGAGAAATGCTTTGAAGCATTTGTAGTGCTGACTCAATCACAGCCAACATCAATATTTTTTTTTATAATTTAGGTTTATGTGAAAATTGGTACCATTAAGAGCATTAAAAATTTCTTTCCATAACTCTGCAAGTTTGTATCTGCCACGAACAGACAAAGGCAATGTATAATCATACAAAGGAGGTCTTTTTCTGACTTCTTCGATTAACGTTTCTTCTAATATACTTTTGTCTGTTGTCAAGCACAGTATTGATTGTCGATCTTCTTCTACAATAAAACAATCATCTGTGGATTTAACCACTCTTTCGTCTATTCCTTTGTTGTCAAATGATAAGCTCTTTGATTTATCTTGTAGTAATACAAGTTGTTCCTCATCACATTTTTTTTCAAAATATTGTCCTTATTCTGCAATATCACAATAGTACTAGTTACAATTATAATACCTAAAAAAATGAGTGGATTATCATCGTATACTTGCATTAATTATAGTTCTTACCATTAGTAGGATAAAACATTTTAGTATCTCCATTAATTGTGATACTATACCAATCTTTCATGCATTGATGATTAAAAATCTTGTATTTATTAACTTTTGATATGCACACTCCACATGTTAAATCCGATTCCTATACAAAGAGTACACTGTTATAGATAATACTCATGTTATATTTATAAAAAAGTGCAAATTATTTTCTTCATGTTAGGTTAAGTTGTAATATACGGTGCCAATTGCGCAATTCTATAATATATCTACTGTTTAATAATATCTATTATATATTATATACATTAATATATATTTTTCCATGTAGAATATAATATAACATATTAACCTTTATAGCGTCTATTAAACTTTTATCACTAGACATTGTAATAAGCGTCAAGATGCTGAAATCTGCCAGTTCTGAATCATGCGCAAGGGCGTTGCGCACGCGTTTTTGACGCTTGACGCTCGACGCTCGACGCTCCTATGTAATGGCAAAGCTTAAATGAAAAGCTAAAATTTAAACCAAAAATAAATACGTAAATCTCCAGTCACAACAGAAAGACTACAAAATGGCAAAATGTTAAAATATGTATTATTATAAATTTCAAGAAGGCCTAAATTTCAAAACTAAATCATGATTAAGTTTTCTACAATTTTTTTCGCAAATCTGACAGTTTATCGTAATTAAATAACTTACATTATTTTTAAACATTACATGCTACTAAAATTACTAACTTGAAATTTATTAAAATATTTTTATGTAAAAGTTATTTACCAGCTCATCATCGATCAAGCCAGCCCAAACATTGACTTTAAATCGATATTGAGAATTATTATCCCACGTCAAAAAAGGATTTTCAACGCCATAATAATGATAATTATGAGAGTTGAATGTTCCATCTTGCGCTAACGTGCATTCGTCAGTCCATAGTACACGACAAGGAAATAATTGATTCTCTCTTACTGCCTTTAAATAATTCCGGGCAAACCTT